AAAAAAAAAAAAAAAAAAAAAAAAAAAGAAAAAACGAAATAAATTTTGAGAGACTAACGCATCACGCCCAGTAGGGTAAAAATGCGTCTTCTCTTGAATTCGCTTTTCCCCTTAAAATCCTCCAAAGTGTGAAGTGCCCAGGATTAAACTGTAAATGTTTTTAAGCTTAATTTAACGAATAAAGTATCAAGCGCAAATCAATTAACAGGATCGAAAAACCAGCATAACTAGAATTAAAAGTTTTTCGAGATCAGTGTAAAGTTCCCGCATAAAAAAAAGAAAAAATGAATAAATTTCTATCAACAACCCACACCTTTAAATGTAATTTCTAATTCAAGACCACTCAAGCTGACATTCAAAACGAAAATTAGCCAAACGACTCCAGAGGATCACATGGCATACTTCTGCGTCCATTCACGAGCCAATTGATTATAACGATCCCTATCAGTTTTGTAAATACGAGCTATTTCGGGTACAAGAGGATCATCCGGATTTGGATCACAAAGAAGTGAGCAAATAGACAGCAGGACTTTTGAAATTGTCAAGGCTGGAGACCATTGAGAGCGCAATATATCCAGGCAGATACTTCCGTTACTGTTGATATTTGGATGGTATATGCGAGTTGTGAACGCTACCTTTGGCGGTTTGAAAGGATAATCTGTCGGAAAATGAATTGTCAAGAAAAACACTCCACCTTGGTAAGGTGACTCTGGAGGACCCATAATTGTTGCTTGCCAGTGGAACAGATCATCCCCAACAGGTCCGGCGCTGCACTGCGCTGGTGGATCACGGCCAAGGTCTTGCAGTTCCTTCTGGATTCTTTTAAGAGCCATCCTTACACTGGTGGTCCCCAATAACTAAATATTAATATATAAAAATACTCATCAGAAGACCGCTAATAATAAATTAAACCGAAAAACAACTAGAAATAAATTGCGAAATACAATAATATATGCACATATACCACAGTTAAAAAAGTTCATACACATGCATTAACTTATAGCAGACAGCCAAAATACACAAAACAAAGTGTCGCCACGGACATCCCACGCATTTTAAAAAATATGGGCAATTATAACGTAACCAAGAAAATTTTTGAAACACATTTTAAATCCTTCTTTATGTTTTAAAACCTTAAAATGGTACAAAATACCAGTTAACAAAAGCCCACGCAAAGCAGAAAGGTTTTAACTTGATAGGCAATAGTGAATTCAGCAAATTCCAGAGCGTGAGAGCTATATCCCCAAAAACAGATGTAAAAATAGTAGAAAAGATTCCAAAAGCGACAGTCCAAAAAATTTACAAGACGGAAATTTTAAACAAACCTATTCATCGCCAGTGATAACGATAAAAATTACAGAAAACGCATAAAATAAAATTGCCATTGAAACAAAAAAAAAAAAAACATCTGCTCCTTGACTGGTTCCTCCAAAATTCAAAAAAATTAGACAAGCAAATGACCTTTGACAATTTTGAATAATAGTGTCACCATAACATGAACAATCAAAAAATAGAAAACACCTTAATAACGCTTTTCATTATTAAGCACTCGCAGTTGCTGGTTAAAAGGTTGCACAATAACACCCGTGTTACAAATTTCACCAAGGAGCCTCGCATCAGCGTTTAGTCGTTTAGAACTCATTTTGCATCATACTGTGACTTACATCCGAAACTATGTTTGATATTTTATTATGTTAATTATCGATTCCAGAAGTTTTATACAAGAAAAAAAGATGGGAACGAATAGGATGAAAAAGGAAAAAAAAGTGAGTAATAGACTGGCTTCATAATGAGGTACTAAAAGTAAGAAAACGTAATCCGATCGTAAGCAAAAACATCAACAAGACTTCAAACAACTGTTAGCTTTGGTTGTCTCATTTCGACAAAAATTTTCCAGTTTCAACTGTTTCTCAATTCATCTTTACATCCATATTGTCATCAGATTTTTGACAGTACATTAAAAAAAAAAAGTATGTATAAAGCAGAAAGTTAATAATTAAAATATAGGACCAAAAGACAAAAGTTTCAAATTATAGGAGCAGCAGAACTGTACTCACAAAAGTTAAGCGCAAACGAATCCACTAGCAGGAATAAATGCAACAATCAAAAGCGATGCGTTCCATAGTAATTTGTAATTAGAAAAAAAGTAGAGAAAATTAAGTGCCTGTAGATCTAACACAGTGGTTACTTAGTCAGTGTCACACATTCATTGCGCTTGATTGCTACATAAAAATTGTTTTTCGCTTCAAGAAACAATTTTTAAATTTTGGTTTGTTATAGCTACGTGATAATAAGCAATTAATTTTACTCAAAATTTTTCTCTCGGTTATTTAACTGTACAACTTTAGGCGTTTTTTTCTGCTCATATTTATTAATTAGAGTTTTATCTGCTTTATAAATGAACAAATTAGTTGCACTTAATAACCCTAAAATTGCCCGTTAATTGACTGTTAACTTTAAATTGTACAAATAACAGTTTTGGCATATTTCCCCGACTTTGATACCAAAGTCTCAGTGCTGCATGCTTGTTATCTACTTCAACGATTACGTGCTGTAGCTGCTGTACGCTAAAAAAACATCACA